CCCATTGGTTACTAGTCCCAAGCTTGGCCTGGGGGAGCTATTAGTGAGTGAGGCGAGGGAGTTTGTAGTGTGCTTATTATTTGCACAATTTGGGTGGGAGTTGAGAAGTTGTTTTGTTGTTATTCATGTTTATTTTTGATGAGTTTGAGAGTTATATTTTCTTGAAAAAATAAAGCATGATATTATGAAAAAGGAGAAGTTCAAAGAAAAAAAAATGTGAAAAAATAAGTGAACTTCAAAAGAAAAGAAAAGTGTTCAAATGTTCTAGTTTGAGGTTGATCAAAAGGAAGATGATAGAGCTTCAATGAAAAAAAATTCAAGTTTGGAAAATAAAGTTTGTTTATTCACTCTACTTCTTCATTATTATATTTTATGAGTGAAATTGTAAGTGTTGGGATTGTTTATATTGTTTGGAGTATATTTGGTTGATGTTAGAGTTGGTTATGTAGGAGATGTTGATCATTATTTATTTTGATCATGGGTTTTGATAGGATTTGGCTCCCTTAAGCATAGCTTTTCTCTCACTTGTTCCCAAATGATTCCTACCCTTTACCCTAGCCTTACATTACAAGCTTTAAAGACCTTCCGACTTTTGTGCATATAATTGTATGAATGTGAAAGTGTTTTTTATCAATGCAAGTTATAATTTGGCGTATTTCGAGTCGACTATTAGGATTGAGCGTTCATTGTTTTATACACACGAGAGTGTGAGTTGGGAGGGTATTGTTTACATAAAGGGGTTGGATGGAGAGCGATCAAGTACATCTTTTACTCGCCACAAAAATGAGAGTTGAGTGCGTGAGCACTAGTCTTGAATTCTATATGCTCTTGTGGTTTGCTCTATTTGACAATTGTTAGGGAAGAAAGGTAATTGGATGGATTTGAGTGGTTGACTTTGAAGCATGTTTATTTGATTTACCCTGAATCGTTTGTGCTTGATTTTTACTTTTTAGGGTTAAGCATATTTATTGATTCATTGATGAGATCTTTGCTTAGGGACAAGCAAAGGTTTGGCTTGGGGGAGTTTGATGTGTCTATTTTATATAGTATTTTACCCCCGTCCCTTGATCATAATTAGTAGTGTTTTTGGCTCTTTAGAGCCACTTTTATTACTAATTGGTGTTTTCTAGTGTTTTCGTAGATTTGGTTGACTTTTGCAGGGATTTATACTTTTGGAGTATTTTCCCGAGATATTTTGGAGCAATCACGAACATTGGAGAAGCACGACCAGATTTTATAGCCCAGGACCGATTAGAGCCATCGAACCGGTGATTAAGGGCTCGATATAGGTGATACCGGGGCATTTGGACCAAATATTCAAGATCGGAAGAGGAAACCCAGATTGGCCCGAAGAGTTGGAGCCCAATCGAAGTCCAAATAGTGGCCCAAATGAGCCGCCCGGCCAAAAAGGCTGGCGCCCGGAGGCGCGCCCGGCCGGGCGGGAGAAGCTTAGGCTGGCGCCCGGTGACGCGCCCGGCCGGGCGCGAGATTAGTATTAGGAACAAAAAAGGCGCGCCCGATCGGGCGCGTGTATTTCTTATTAGACGATTAGCGTCGTTTTAATTTGTTTTAGTTTAGGATTTTGTACGGAGTATAAATACTCCTCCGTAATACGTTTTTAGGATCTCTCTTCTTCTTCTTCTTCTTCTTCTTCTTCTTCTTCTTCTTCTTCTTCTTCTTCTTCTTCTTCTTCTTCTTCTTCTTCTTCTTCTTCTTCTTCTTCTTCTCCTTTTTACTCTTTCTTTACTCTCTTAATTATTCTCTTAGAATTCTCTCTCTAAACTTTTGTTCTTAATTCTTCCATTAATTCCAAATTACTTTTTGGTAACAATTTCTTCCCCTTTAATTTCAGTTATTTTATTTACTCCCTTGATTATGCTTTTATTTATTTATTTGATTAGTTTAGTCATGATGATTTGTGAGTAGTTTAATTTCTAGGGTTCATGGGGATCTAATAAATAATATGAAGGGGTAAATTATTGTTGTTGATTATCAATGCTAGATTAATTTCCTATTGATTGATTTAATGCTCTGTGACTAGATTAGGCCTATCTTTTATGCATGAGTTTGACAATATTGATTCAAGATTTGAGAGATGAGAATTGATGTTTAGGTCTAGTTTCAATAGGCAGGTTAATTTATAAATGGTTAAGTTGAGATTCGAGAGATGAGATTTAATACCGGTAAATTAATTGTGTGATTGTAATACGTAGCGAAAGCCCTTTACAATCTGGTTAATTGATGCATTGATGATTGACTATTATTGATTATTGGTATTGCATGATAATTTCTTATTGAATTGTTTTAACGCTTTACAAATGTGGCTTGTAAAAGTATAGCAATATTGAATTAATGAATCGAGCAGATGTTTATTTGATATTAAAGGCTATTTTCAATAGGAACTTAGATCTAGTAAATTGTGAGAGCCTGTTAGATCTATGTTGGTTAATAAATTGCGAGAGCCTGTTAATCATGTTATTTATGCAATGTCAATGATTGATTATTATGTTTTACCCTGGAGTATTATTTATTGGTGAACCTATGCCCTAGATCCTTTTATATATTGTTTTCTCCCTATTCTCAATCTTAGTAGTTTAGTTTCTTATTAAAATATAAATATTGGTTACTTCATAATCTAGATTATTTTATTTAATTAGGAATATAAAGATCCGTTTCTCTGTGGATTCGACCCTACTTCCCTATCTACATTAGTTAGAGGATTTAGGTATTACTTTTGATTTGGGGATACGACTTTACCCTGTCACAGCACGACTACACCCATCAATCCAAATAACGTCTTTCAACCTACCAAGTGGGTTTAGTCGTTCGGAATGATAAAAATTATGGGTTTCCAGCTTGCAGTTTCTTGAAATAATTCATCATGGCTGCTGCATCCCCCATTTCATTTTTGACCATCTAGCCTTGTAATCCTCATGCTGTAAGTCCTTCACGGTATAGTCCAACTCACCTTCCCCTTCAACTTCACTCGCTAAGCACCCATATATTTGGGACACAGGTACACCATTATCAAAATATTTCAGCAACTTCCTTCGAGCATTTGATGTAAATTTCTTCATTCGATATTCTTTAACTAGCTTTGCCTCCTCAGGTGTTGGATTATGATTTGTATGTTCCAAATCCACTTTCTTAACTCCCACTCCCCATCACGATTCAAACCACCATATATACTGGCCTTACACTCACATTTTTTTGACTTCCACATACGTTGGCTCAGCTCATCTACACACACAAAAGCGTTAACTACCCCTCCAGAACCAGAAACACCCATAGCCTTAGCCCTCTTCCTTGCGTCCCTCCTAGCCCTCATATCTGGTCTTCCCCAACACTCACAACGCCAAGTAGTTGCAATCCGATCCCTAACTTCTCCTTTAGAATACACACCATGTACCCTTGTGACTCCAAAACCCTGTTGGAATGCATATGCTTAGTAATAAGCCTCAACATCTTGCAAACTCATAAAAACCATCCCAACCTTAGGAGGTTCGACACAAGATATTTCACTCACGCGATTACTATCACCCATTGTTTCTGTTGTCTCGATTGTTTTGTTTGGGGTTAGGTATTGTGAACCATGGTGTTGGTTATCAAACCCCTTGGGTGTGTTCAAACACTCAAAATCTGAGTCTTCATCTTCGATTAATATTCCAGAAAGCTCATTATCATCATCGATTAATATTCCAGAAAGCTCATTATCATCATCGCTACCATAATCACCTTCAAATTCGTCATCCATAACAACCGTCCTTAGCTTAATTTTCAAACAATTATTTGTACTAAAAATACCACCTGCATCAGATGTGTAAAACTATTAAACCTATTACATGAGCTTTATGAGCATTTACTATGTACACAATCAATTCTTATTATGCTATCATACAACATTGACCGGTAAATAGCACAAGCACGGCTAAACATTTCCAAATCAAAGAATACACGATTAAGTTAAGTTATTTTGTACCAACGGTGTACTAATATTATAATTCACATCATCCGCATATATTTCAAACAAAATTCATTAATTCCTTCAAATAACACCTACTTAAAAATAAAATGAGGTTAATAATTCGATATATATACATCCATTCAAAATATAAAATCTATGAATTAAACAATAATTACACCTTAACTTATAAGATTGAAACACATTACATTACTCAAATAATTGATCCAATATACTAAAATAAGTATGCTTGTACTACAAACGACTAAATATAATATCAAATCAACAAACTTTTATTATCGGTTATTACAACTAAGACAATATTTAACTTCATAAAACTAACATCATCCTACGATTTTATAAAATAACTAAAATTTGCATAAATTAAGATACAAATAAGTAAGATACACGCTATTATAAACTTTGCATAAATTAAAACAGGTATTATAAACAACGTATAAATTAACATAATATCAAATTAAGATACAAATAAGCAAAATAACAAAAATTTGCATAAATGAACATATGTATTATAAACAACGTATAACTTCTAGGAATCACTAACCTCATAAACACCTCGTTATTTGATGAGAATGGTCACACAAAATCTTCTCTACACCTCTAGAATTACAATCGGCCTTGAAGCCTTGTACTCTCCATCTACCTTCAACCTTGCTGCTAACGAAATTATGAGCATGGACTATACATTAATAACTTAGACTACCTGATGCCAAATTAAATTCGCTGTTATATAGTTCAAAGATTGAAAATATACCAACTTGCACAAACGGAGACATTAACAACGTTTATCCTTCCGTGATGCCGACGTTATAACGTCACTTGCCTAGGTGTGCAATTTCGCTTGCCTACATGGCCACTTACTAATGTGACTCAGTTGCTGTGTAGGCTCAGTTGATGAGATGGCAAAATAGATTAACAAACTTTGTTGATCAAAGTGATAAACTGGGCAGCCCTCCTTTACAACCTTAAGGAGAGGATTCCTGATGAAGAATATGTTCTATCATTGGAAGAAGCAGAGATGGTAAGACCTGGGGAACATATAACAATCTTGACCTATTCCCATATGAGATACCATGTGATGCAGGCGGCCAAGACACTGGTCAACAAAGGGTATGACCCTGAGGTGATCGATATCCGCTCATTAAAGCCCTTTGATTTGCACACAATTGGAAACTCCATTAAGAAGACCCACAGAGTGCTGATTGTCGAAGAGTGCATGAGAACAGGTGCTATTGGTGCTAGTCTGACAGCTGCTATTAACGAAAACTTCAATGATTATTTGGATGCCCCGGTCGTATGTTTATCATCTCAAGATGTACCTACTCCCTATGCTGGGACTTTGGAAGAATGGACTGTAGTTCAACCTGCTCAAATTGTTACTGTAGTCGAGCAGCTGTGCAGCTAGGGAATCATTCAATGGAGCTTTCTATTCAACTTTGTTGTTTGCCAATGAAGAACTTATGCTTACGTCGTTTGTTGGAATTTTTGGAGTTTTGGCTATAGTTGGAATTGTTCTTGAAGATTAAATTTTGTAGGAATTTAATGTCTACAAGGAGACAGATTTGGTTTGTTTTTATCATGTTTCAGTTAATTCAAAGCTACTCCTTTCCAAAAGTATATTTCAAAATTTTTCTTCATATTTACCTCATTGATGGATACAGTAGTTCTATGATTCTATCATCCAGAGACACTCCGTTTGCTCTTTTGATGGCCGATTATCATTGGAGAAAGTTAACCACATTTGTTTTTTATTTATTTATTTTTTTTTTTTATCACGTCTTAAATGTGCTACATTGAGTGAATCAGGTTGCTTTGTCTCTTTTGTTCACCAAGGAGCCATGTCTAGTTTGTATATTGTATTACTCCGTAGTATGTAAGCTGATAAAACAATAAAAATACGTATCTCAATGTTTTTTTTCTTTTTTAAATCTTGCATAGTATAAATTTGAAGCTTGTCATGTCGTGATGAACCATTGTCCTAAAATTTGATTTCACATACTTCGATGCAATGGATGTAAAGTAGTCGCCTACTAGGATAAACATGGCGTCGGAGTTTGTGTGCACTGATAAACCTAGCTACAATACGACTCATAATACTTACTCAAAATCTAAAGAGTATTTTCGAGAGAAGAATGTTTCTAGTTTTGTATGTATGTATCCATTGGGAAAAAAAATAAAGTTCAATTAGTTTTTTAGTTAAGTACTTCCTTTGTTCTATTTTACTTGATCAGTTTTTTTATCACGTTTGTCAATAAACAAGTTTAACCATCAATAATTTTAATTCTCTATTGGTAAATATTATAAAAGTTATATAATGTTATACAGTACTACTTATTGAGAAAATTCTCCTTATATAATGAGGTTAGCGGTCAAAGGAGGGGTAATGAATAATGTAAAAGTCAAAGCGAGTCAAGTTAAAAAATCGGAGGAAGTACGATCAATAGCTAATACTCCCTCTGTCTCATAATACAATGCCTCCTTGAGTTTTTACGCGGGAATTAAAAAAGTTGTATATTCTGTAAAATTAATGATTAGAAAAGTTGACCCACAGCTACTTGTGGCCCGAGTACTGGAGCCTATTGATAAGTGCTCCATTTGTTGGAAGGTCTATGCCTGGGGTTACAGGTAATATTTCCTAGGGAAGAAGAGGGCTTAGAGATGTGGGTAACAAAATGGTCCAGGGTTACGTGTGGAAAATAGGGAATGGTGAGAAGGTTAAGATTGCAAATATGAAATGGGTGCAAGGGGCCGTTCCTGAGTTGAAGTCGAACCTTACCCTCAATGGGATAGGTCATGGTAGAGTTAAAGACCTTTTATTGAATAACCTAAGACAGTGGAATGCTGCTATTGTTCGTGAAAGGTTCGATTGGGAAACGGCTAAAAAAATTCTGGAAATGGAACTACCGTCAACAGATGAAAATGATCTTCCCTACTGGAATCATCATCCCTTGGGCAACTATACTGTCAAGTCTGGGTATGCTTTTCTAATGCGTAGTTTTTCTTTGCCACAGGTAACAGTGCAGGAGTACTCTTTCTTCAAACTCATTTGGCGGTTAAACATACCCCCTAAGTGGAGTTTATTCCTTTGGAAGCTGTATGTTTATGAATGGATTGGTTGTCAAGGGTAATCTTATTAAACGGGGGATCGACATCGAAAGTGATTGCGACTCTTGTGGAATGGGGAAGAGGATATTCAACATATCTTTAGGTTATGTTCTTTTGCGAAGTATGCTTGGCAGAATTGTGCCTTGCATATAAGCTCTGAAACTGATGAATCTACTCCGTTGAGACACTAGATTCAGCAACATATCCTGCTTTATCATAGCGAGGATGGAATACATAGTAACCGGATTCATACCTTTGTGGGGGTCTTGTGGAGTCTGTGGTTAACAAGGAATGGGAGAGTTTTTAGAAATGAATGGGGTTATTTGGCTGATTACTATAGACACTTCAACCTCACAATGAAGAGTCTCGAAGTGTTCCTTAAGCCAAAAGTAACTTTCCCTGGGGTCCTTCGCAACAGGGACAGTATGGGGGACCATCCTCCGGGATTTAGTAGGATCAACATCGGGAGAAGTGCGGTTCTTCCTGATAGCCCTCTTCAGGGACATATTGAGGCAATTATTATGGATGGATCGTGGAAAAAGAGCAATGGCCACGCGGGTTTAGGATGGGCATACTCTACGGATGCAGTCAACTACTTGGATGGAGGAGGGGAGTTTGGTACGGCTCTTTCGGCTCTACATGCGGAACTGTTAGCTTGCCTAAAAGTTATCAAATGGGCACGCTTAAAAGGATATCAACGTATTACCATTTTCACAGATTCTATAGCTCTTATCCTCCTTTTGCAATGTCCTAATCAAAGAGAGGTGAGACGTCTTTGGAGTATTGGGGAGTTAATTACGGAAGGGGCATCTTCGGATATGTGCACTATTTGGAAAGTAAGCAGGGAACAACTCACTAAAGCGCACGATATCGCAAGACGGTGTAGGATTAATCTAGTTAGTTTCTCGTTGTAGTTTCTGTTTAGTTGCTTTTGTCAAAAAAAAAATTAGAAAAATATATGTGCATGTGGGGTTAGAGAGAGATAGAAAAAAAGAAAATGTAATTGAGAATAATTGAAGAGATGGAGAGAGAAAGTATTGAAAATTGATATTAAAACTTAAAAGTACAAAAAAGAAAAGGTAAAAAGATGACAACTCATCAAAAGAGGGTAATAACGTCAAAAAGTACAACCTTTAAATATAAAGAGGTATTGTATTTTGGTTTACGCAAAAAGAAAAAGCGGCATTATATTATGAGATGGAGGGAGTAATATAGTAATTAACGTTGATATTATAACAATCCACGTGGGTGCTTTTTATAATAATGTTTTTTCTCTCCTAACTATTATTAATATCATTTTTTTAAAATTTTTTTTTTGCTTTTTCCTATTCCTATTGAATAAAAATAACTAGTTCAAGCATGTGGGATGTAGGGTTTACTTGTATTTTTTACAACTTAAATTTTTTTTGTATGTTTGTGTTAAAATTTGTTAATTTATTTACTTGTTATACGAAGTATATCATATTATCCTTTATTATTTCTAATATCATTATTTTAAAATAAATTGTGATTTTTCACTCATTCGTTATTCTACCTCCGTTTCTTTTTAGTGGACACGTATTCCTTTTTAGGAAGTTTTTTTTAGTTGACACGTTTTCTTTTGGAGTAAATTTTTTACCTTGCATTTACAAGCTACCCCACTTGTTTTTTTTCACTCTCTCACTCTCTCTCCTCTCCTTAATATATGCGTTTAAATCGGACACGTGAACTAAATAGAAACGGAGGAAGTATATTTATATGAAATTTTTAATATCAAAAGATAATATTTTACATCTAATTAATAAAATTATAAAAAGTTTTTTTAATCTAATTTAAAACTGTTTTTAATTTCAATGATTTTTTCTTATTTTTTGTATCTAATTTAAAACTTTTTTTTTATTGAATGTTGATTTTCTTTTGGTAAAAAACCCATGTTACATAGCCCAATCAGAATGGAACATGTGTCATCCAAAACATGTCCAATAAGGACCTGTAGACACCTAAAAATGTCTCCCTTAAACCAAACCCGATGATGAACAACCATTCACCGCCATTATTGGTCGGGTTGAGTATTTAATCTTTAGAGTGCTTAAATTTATATTTCCATTTCATAAACCAACCCAATTCCTAGCCCATTTCCCCAAACCATAACTTATTTTCCTCTTTTTCGTGCCTTTAAACCTAAAATAATTCATTTTGTGTCCTTTAAAATCATTCATTTCGTGTCATTTTTATTAAAACATTTAGTTCATTTTATTTTGGTCCATAATATGGGTCCAATGATTGAATATTTGGATTGGGCTTTAAAAGAATTTTCCAACGATATATCATAAGCGCAAATCCGAGTTATAACGAATAAGTTATGGCCAAAATATTAAACTGAGCCCAAATCGAACCTAAGCCCACCTTGCCTACGATCAAATGATCATGTGAAGGGTCCAAAGGACTTATTACCATTCCTAAACCAATTGGGATTAATTGAAAGCTTCTATTAGTTTCTAAAACATCTTAATTATCCTTTTAGAAAAGAGAAAATTAAAGAGTTTGAAATTGAATAAAACTTATCTTTTTGAAAACCCTAATTCTATTCGAATTGAAAGACGTTCAAAGATAGGCAGATATTTTTTTCGTGCCTCATAGTTTTATCCAAATCTTAAATAACGGAAAAGATATGAATGAAATATCAAACTCTATCCAAAACTGACACCGTCCTACAATTTCAGCCTTATATTTTATTCTACAAAATATTTTAACCTTATTTCAATTGAGTTAGAAAGTAGACTTCAACAGCTTTCTAACAACATATTATTTATCTTATTCCGATTTCTGGATCAAAATATATGATAAAAACAAAAACCGCAAAAACTGTTGTCTATCGCAAGAGTTTTATTCCGATTCGAATTCTATCTTTTCTTAATTCTTCGGCCCTTTTTTTTCTGTATAAATAGAGGCCATATCTCCCATTTTTCAATTATCAACAATCTTGATCACAATTCTTTTCTCCCTCTTTAGCCTAAATACTAGCCACCCTATTCTCTCAAAATACTTACCCTAAACACTCCAAGGAGTCCATACAATACCAAAAGTTCTATACTTAAACCAAGGCGTGAAAGGTATAATTAACTGAGAGTTTGGACCAAATCAACTCTACATTTATTTAATTTAATTTTTATTTGATTTATATTTATATTGAAGTTACTAACAATTTATTCATGATGTAGCAATTCAAGGAAACGCGGAAAGTGAGTAATTAATCACTTGATTACTCTTATTTTTATTCTTATTGCTAGTATCATGATTAGGTTTATTATTATTATTTGA